GGGGAATGAACAATGACTGCTGTAGCTTATTCTCAACCATCAAAACATCAAAAACATTGGAAAAAAAGCCTGTTTGACCGTATTCTGAAAACATCAGGAGTAAGAGTATTTCTAGAGTTTGCGTGTGGCAGCTATTTGGTTCTGTAGTTTGAAGCTTAAACATTCAAAATGAATTAGTATCGAAATTAAGAATTTGAAAAGTTACTAAAAGTTCAAACCACTGCTGATTGTTTATCATATATAAAGATTAACAGTTAGGATATCAATCCAAAATATTTAAATGGAGTTTCACATACTTACTGTAAACACAAACTGCAAGCCATTCATTCATTACCATTACCCAAGTACTTGTCCACCAACATTTATTGTAAACCTGCAGATAAACAAAATATAGCGCAATACAATAAGCATTTTGTTACAACTTTTGTTTCTTAATTTTTCTTTCTTCAGAAGTAGCAAGCACCAATTTTAATTTCCTGCCATCAAATGGTCTTAAATCTGTTACAACAAAGCTCTGTACAAAATTAAGTGTGAAACTTTACTTAATTTGATGTTGAAGGATATATTAATTCTAGTTTTCTATTACACCACTATATATTTTAAAGTTGAGGCTCTAATAAGAATTCAAGTAGCAATGAGATACTTCCCCTAGATCATATAGCATTTGAATCAAAAGGCTGGATAAAGCTTGTCCAGTTTATTAGAACAATAGAATAATACTAAGACTAAACTGGACCTTTGCCAATTTTAATTCGAGATTGATAAAGTAGAAAGACATAATGCTACGTGTTTAATGACTCAATGACCATCTTGAGTCATTTAAAGGTCGTAAACTTACTATGATGGTAAACCAGTCTCTTTTTGCTAATGGAGATTCTACTTTCCAGATGCATTTCTCTTCTGCAGGTTCTCTGTAAGTAGAGACAAGAAATTTATAAGAAATAATAGCATAATGTGATGAAACCATAGACACTTAACTGTGTATTGGTATTATCTCAAGTGGAAACATGAACTGAACAGAGGGACTTCCAAAAAAATGAAATTATAATATGAAAACTTGTGACATGTTTAAGACATCTACTTTCTATAAGTTTGAGAATATATCAAGATATCCTAGTTCTTACTTCAGGTTCTTGGGAGCCAACTTCTCACTCAACAAATGACATTACTTATAGAAATTGACATTCCTAAAAGGTTGAAGTGATGATTTTAAAGAATGATCAAGAAAGTTTGTTGTCTAGTGCTTAGCCTCAAATTGCAGACTTTTCTTTTTTGCACTCTTAATGAATTTAAAGAGAAGGATGCAAGGTTTACGAAAAAAACAAAATCCAAATTGTACATGCAGTAAGGAAACCGCCATTCACCCGATACTTTTATCAATTAATACAAATTATTCCAACAATAAAATGTAAACACAAGAAACACAGACTCACTATGGGCCGGAGAGACACATTGGTCATGAGTTGGAGGAGTACTAATGTCCAGGAGATGAAGAAAATATTATTAAGGCACGATGGTTGAGGATTATACAAAATGTGCATTAATATGATCCCAGGGATGCATATAACATATGAAACTGTTGCAAGTAACATCATTTGGACGTGGCTGCAAATGGTTTTATTTCCATTAGCACTTATCATCAACTATTTTAACGTTCATAGGAATTACATAAAATGTAGCATAACTTAAATTAAATGCACGGTTTTTTTGGATCTGAATTTTATCCTTTTAATAATGATTCTATTTTAATGATAATAGTACTAGCAAGACGAACCGTTCTATATATAACAGTAAATAGCATAAAAAGGGATTGGTTGTAAACCTGGCATGCAATTACAAGATGAACTACGATTATGTTGGCTATATCGAGTAGCAAATAAGGGTCGTATAATCCAAAATCAATTAGTAAAAACAGCCATAGAGCATGTAGAGAACTGTTGTTACTGATACACTAATTAGAGGTGCATTTTTCATTGTCTTGGCTTATGAGGGTGGGGATTTGATTATATCTTATATTATATAGGAAATTACCACGACATCAAGTTAAACTGCGATGAATGAATGAAAAATGATCCATATCATTACCTGAATCTACATATGAATGAGGGAGTAAGAATTGGCAAAAGAAATAGTTTCAAGTGCTTTCGAAGTTCTCCAAACTTTTTGCATTTCAGTGACAATTCCAATGCTAACTCCATTTCAACTTCCTCAAATTTTGAGTTTCTTCAAATAAAAAAGGTAAATAAAAGTTAGAACTTGAAATGTTTCTCGGACCCTCAAAAAATGTTGCAATAGTAGGTTAGAAGGTCACAAACCTGCTATTTGAGCAATGCCTAAACATAGACCGATCGTCGAGTAAGTGAAAGACATTACAACAACAACGATTGAAAGTCATCAAATTTGATCAAAATCTGGAATTTGTAAGAAATTAGATTTCTATTACTCCAAATATGATGTAATAAGTAACAAAGAGAATTAAATCATAAGAATAATACCATCAATCCAACCAAGTTGAGATACAACAAGCCAAAGATAAAACGCTTGAACCAATAACAACAATTATGATATGAGCACTTGCAGCCTAAACAGTCCTTGTACAATTTACAACAACAAAAAAATCAACAACAGAATTTGGGTTAGAAAAAAAAATTAGAAAAACAATCATGTCAAATACCTCTTAGATGTCGACACTACTTTATTAAATCAAGAGAATATTTATTTAATTTAACAATGTGTGTGAGGATAGACCAGTACATCCTTCTTTGGTAAAACATAATTAATATGTGCAATCACTTGGTAAAATATGTGGTCGACATGACTAGACATTTTGATTTTGTTAAAGTAAATCTCGGCCCTAAAAGTAGTCATTTGAACTAATCATAAAACTCTTATATATTAAAAAATTGAACGAGACAGTTTACAGGCTAGACATTTATCACTGGAAGAAACTGTTCGCCCACCAAACATGTTATTCACAATTAAATGTGATAAACACTAAATATTTGTTTGAGTCTTATGTATTCAATGTTGTGAGCATTTTGTACTTATACTTTGTCGTCCATCCCACTAAGACACACTTCTTCACCTGCTCTACAGGGCTGCAGTACTACACAAATTCAATTTACCAAGGAACCGAAAACCTTCAAGTACTATCACCTGCAATACAGGCCTGCACTACTCAAACACTCAGACTATGCAACATCTTATTCTTATTCACCAACTTACCAACTAGACAAGCATATCACTTCAACAAATACTAGCAATGCAGAATATGAATCAAGATAATGAAGAATGATGGAGAAGAGAAGACAACACTATGGACGACGAAGTGGTTCCTAAAGCAGTCTCGATAGACACATCTTTCCCTTCACATCAGAGTAGTCCATTAGAAATGTATGTGACAGACTTTGGGGAAGACGTTCCAAGAATTCTTGAATAACCAGTCTAGAACCTATGGATAAGGAACTCACAGATGATAGAGATGCCCGAAATGTAGAAAAGAGGTTCTCAAACTAAGTCAGCAAGGATGTAATCGAAACTTCTCTCAACTTGTGATTCTAAGACTCACTAGACCTAAAAAAATATGTGGTGATTTTTGTTCCTACAATCTGAAAAATAAATTTTCCACAAATAGAGGAGATATTTTACACTCTTTAGAATGAAAACCTGGAGATATCATTAGAACCAGGAGGGAGCTCAACTTTGAATGAGGAACTATCAATGAACAACAAGAAGCTAGAATCCAAAAAATTGTAAAAACAAGAAAATCAAAATACAATACCACAAAATAGACCCTGATAAAACAAATTCAAACTTTTAAAGGTAGAAATTTCTATCTAATTAACCCCAACCGACAAAACCTGATGAAACTTTAGGATATCATCTTTCATGTTCTGTTTATTAATTTAAGGAAAATTTAGTCGTACGCTATGAACTCATTTATCCACAATTTTCAAGAAATTATTGAACTTTCTCATTCACTCCACCAGTATAGTCTCTAGGAATTCTCATGCTTCCATCCAGTGGTGGAGTCAGAAATTTCTTAAAGGGTGTCCAAAATTAGTAACTTGTTATGTTTAAAGTGTCCAAAATGGGTTATTTAACCATTTTGTATATCATTTTACTTGTATATATGTTAATTTTTTTTCAACGAAGGATGTCCAATTTTACCCCCTTGACTGTATGTGGCTACGCCACCGCTTCCACCATTTTCCCAGAAAATTGAGTCAATTGTCTCCGCCAGATGTCTCACCCCTCTGTTTATCTTTTCATTTCATGGCCAATATAGGTGAAAAATGATAAAAGCATAGGGGATTTTTGTAGGTCGACGACCACAAAGAGAAACTCATGAATGGAGCTAAAAGATCTTCCAATATGGAATTTTTGTTTCTCAAAATATAGTGAAAATCAGACAAGTATTTTGAAATCATTATTCAATTGTTTTGTGAAAAATAAACACTTTCTGTTTTTTATCAACAAGTATTTGTTAATTTCGATAGAAAAACTATTTTTACAAAAGCCTTGAAAAATTTCAGATCTAGGGCAAATATAATCTCTTTTAGAGACTTGAAAAGATCTTTTTATTTTTTATCAAATTTCTTTTTTTTACCAAATAAAAATGGAAGGAAGACTTAAATCTGTCGGAGGGAATATAAATGTTTTAGTGAAAATTACAAGGCCACACTTGGTAAGTGTTATTATAATTATAAAAAAGCACACTTTAAAAGTGTATTCATATATATAAATACTAGACAGGGATGGCCCATGCAAGCACGGGCCCAATGTTAAAAAAATTTTTGTGTGTCTAATACAACACATAGACATAGTAAATTTAACTCCTCCAATTAGCCACAATAGAGGAGGAGAACTATTAACATTGAATTATACTCTTATTGTACTGTCCAGGTAAACTAATAGACAAAAAAAAACTAAGAAGGTTCCACTATCCTTGACCACATCTTCAAGAAATACGCCAATCGTGATTAAGCAATAGATTACTCTCTTCCAAACCAAACAGTCAATGGCTGCATTATACTTTGCTCTCCCTGACGTCACCTGGAAGTTTGTTTTAGCAGTTTGCTTTGGCACTGGAATTTTAATAACTACTCCAAGAGCAAACATTTTTGCACCAAACACACTCTTAACCTGAAAAACAATCAAAGTTAGCAACAGTAAATCATATAAGCACAAATTGATGTTTACAATCAAAATTCATTCAATATCAAACCTTAACATTCACTTCCATACGTGTACGGCCTAATTCTTTGATAGTTGGTAATACACGGAAAGGAAGATTTACTCCATCAGTGATGCGGTACCTGAAGATAAACAGTTAAACAAAATCAGGCACTATCATACAAAGTATGTTCATGATCTGAACATGTTACCAGTTTCAAAAAAAATAAGTAGATATAATCTTATCCTCTTACAAATCAAGGGGCTTACATATTTTGAGCTTAAAAAGTCAAGATACAATTTCTATACTCTGGTCATCATCACTTTCCAAGTAAACAACAACATACCCAGGGACCAATGTAGTCCCACAAAGAGGTATCTGGGAAAGGTAGAATGTACACCAGACTTACCCTTGCCTCAGAGTTGACACTTGCTCCATCACTTCAAAGGTTACACTATTTCAATTTATATTGCACAGAGAAATTCTAGATTTTTTTCCAGTACTTCTTTCGAATGAGTATCTTGATAAATTTCTCAAGCAGTTCCATTAATACTGCAACTTTTTGACAACTTACTAAGTTAAGAGTTTGGAACACACGTTATGACTTATGAGTGGGAACATGCACAAATTGATTCATCAGGATGCTTGAATATCCAATATAAAATTCTTGAATACATAAAACATGAGAGAGAGTTCAAAAAGGTTGCGAATCAAAAAGGATGAGTTAGATGATCTAAAAGATGAGAAAAGTGATTAAGTCAATTGAGACTCAGGATCCTTCTGATCTGCCTAATTCTTATGATGTTCTCAAACTACACAAGAAACCATAGAGTATTAGGTTCTATCATCACCGCCTAACAGGTTCAAATTGTAGGATGAAATATATGGCAACACAAATGTCTACTTGGGATTTGTGACCAACACCCGATTCGCCAAAACTACCTAAAACACACAGCTACTTAAATTAAGCATGTGTTTTAATGCCGTAGTAAGGTTTCTCTATTCTCAACAGTTCCAACCAAAGACAATTAAAAAAGGCATCTTTTAATCAATACTTAGATGTTCTACTGCCAATTCTTACCAATAGTATAGTATTTCTTCTGTTCAGTTCTTTTTGTCACTGCCTTCATTTTTCTCCTCATAGTATGATTATAAAGTTACTCGCTTTATGCAATTTAAGGAAAGCAAAAAAATGTAATTCATCTAGCAACTAATGGAGCACACAAAAAGGATTCAAAGAAAAAGATTTTATTTAATTGCAGTTCGTAAACCTATACAACAAGAATTATTCCTCAATTGGCAAACCTTGAAATAAAAATCTCAAACTCCTAACAAATATAGAAACTAAAAGGCCATAAGAAGAGCATCAATAAACATAGTCATGGCAGCACAATATCAATATAAAAATATTTTACACTTTCAATGAGTGAGGAACCATACATATAATAAAGTCAAAGTGATAAACGGAGAGATGACAAACCTCACATAGCAAGTAGAGTCAGGGGCACGAACAATACAAACACTCCATTGTTAATCCTTCAGAACAGGACTCTTACAACACATCTCATCGCATTGTCCAAACCTACACATACCCTCTCATTTTTTGTTCTACCTTAATTAAATAGAGAAACATTAGGATTTCAAGTTCAATAAAAGATGTTTACAAACCATGAATTACTTTAACAAATAAATGTCTCAGTGATATATTTTTCCTTCAATATTCTAAAGGGATGAAACTTTATGGATGTCCTGAAAATATGGAACAAAAATTAATTGTTTGTTCGCCAACTAATAATATTCCTAAAAACAACTCACAATAATATGAATTAAGTATTTTTGTGCCAAAAAGAGGAGCAACTATTATGCTTTTAATTATTCAAGAGCATGGATAATAACACTGATGCAAGGAACAAAAAAATGTGGGCTAGATTATTTATGCAAGGACAAATAATGATGTTGCGTTCTACAAAGGGGTGTTCATTTTTCTATTTTAGCATATTATTCTCATTCCTTTTGAGAAGCCAACAAAAGCCATGACTTGCTTGGTTCATTTTTGAGTATTTCTAGCCTTTTCATTTCCCACATGATGAACATGTTGTAACTTTCTCCTACTAAGCTAAGCAGATAATATATAAATTTAACAATATAAAATATAGAATTACCATTCAATTTCTAGAATAGGGACAACTGCTAAGCTTCTTTGAACTATTAGTCCACAAACTACGCATAGCATAAAAAATGATAGCAATTAACACTTAACAATTAATATCCAAATAGCAAATAAAAAATAGAAAAAAAAAGTAAAAGAGGAAAATAAAGGATGCATTTTTTACAAAACCTGAAAATTAATATGGACAACTATACAAAAAATTATGTTAATTTAATCAAAAGTCATAAGAAACCTTGCCTGTAACTTCATCTACTTCTGGTATTACTATATGACAGACTGCTAACAAACGGAAGAACTTTTGTATTACATCTGAATGAGGATCAAAAAGCCAACTCGCATTCATGATTCTTTCGTCTTCAAAATTGAAACCTTTAACAGTGGACTTCCTAGAAGTAACAACACCATCCTCACCATGATCATTACTTTTTGCCATCAGTGGAGATCCATTCCTCTTAGCCATGGCCTTTTCAACTTCTGTAATACCACGTCCATAAGCAGTACCAGCCACGGAGCACTTGACAAACTCTATTGAATTACAAGTCAGTGTGCCAGTTTTATCAGAAAGTATTGTGTCAACCTGGCCGAGTTCCTCGGTAATATTTGAGGTGCGGGCATGTGCTGGTTTATCAGTTTCTTCATAGTACATAACTATATTTTAGGCTAGTCAGAAATTATAAGCTGAGAATGAAGATGAAAACATTATACACTTCATTTTCTTCTTCTTTTTAATCTTCCATTAGCAGCTTTTTTGTATGATTAATCTCTCTTTGTCTTCTTCTTTTTCCCCTTTTTGGTGGAGGTAGAGGGAATTGGTGCATTGGGTGTGTTTATATGCTAAGAAAGCAGTTTGATTAGATGCAAAATGTTATCTTTAGTTGATTTTTCTATGTATTTTTTTTCATAGTTTGCTTGATTACAAATATGCCTGAGCAAATTGTTATTGATTAGGGATAACACACTCTGTTTGACAGAGTTCTAGGGTCTTAGTCGTATCCATTATCTGTATATATGTGATGAAGTTACGTTCTATTAAAATGTCTTTCTGAAATTTGGTTAGCAATTTCACATAAAGATAATGACTAATGACACTAAAAAAAATTGCACATTGCCTCTTATTTTTTTGGGTTGGCTCTAATTCGACAACAATAAATCCCATTAGGTGTAGGATGTACACAAACCTTTATGCCTATCTCGTGGAGATAGAGATAGGGAGGTTGTTTCCGATAAAGAAATCATTAAGAAATCATTACATAACTTGAATTCTGGTTTCTGAATATTGATTTTGCTTGTGACATAATCTATTGAATGTGTTTAGCAAATGTGTTTAGCAACTTTGAGGCAGGGGCTAACCTCCGTGTATAACCCTAGACCCCTTACAAAACTATCTATTTCTATTTTGTTTTACCAACAATGCAGCTCGGAAGAGTTTGCATATGACCGATTATTCTATTAGGTATTTGTTCTCTCCCTCTCTCACTAGCCTATGTAGTATGTACAAACTCTGCCATCAAAAGCTTAGACAAATGGATTCAGTTAAAGTTGGTTTTCTTCTATAGTCCCAAGTCTTGGTAGATAAAGTTATCGAGTAACCATATCTGTGTTGATGAAAGGTAGTAGGCATATGGGCAACATTTTGATATTAAGATTGAGTGATATTCCTTCTCAACTATAGGCGTTTACTGTGAGCTAGAGCGCCAAGGGAAGCTTTCTAGCCTGAGAGTTGTGGGCTCTTTCTGTAGAATTATGCTTACAGGAGAAGGATATTGTTTACGGTGAAAGCATCTTTTGAATGAAAATACTGACATGTACATTCAAACTAGGGTGATATGAATTTTATAGTGCATGTGCTGGTGGTTGAAGCAGATAACTTGATGAAAATAGTAGTTGAGGTACATGTAAATTGCTGGACATTACTGTCACCTCATAGGTCTTTTTGCCACTTTAGATAATATCAACATGCAGATACTTATATTTCACGCATCGATGGTGTTGTGATATGCAGCAGTAACTTTAGAAAAAGAAAGGAAAGGCACATTACCCATGTCTTCTCGCCTTTCCAGTAGCTTGCCTCTGTTGATCACCTTTTTTAACATTGTTTGCCATACCCAAACACCTCTAATTCTAGAAAGCTTTAAAGTCTCTAAAGTTTGCATCTTCATGCAAGGATGAAGTAACCTCCAATGCCTGTTTAAGCTTCAAATTAGTAAAAGAAAACCAAAAGTTACTGCATGTGAAAATACATAGGTTTTTCATACATAAAGAAAAGAATACAACCAAAAATTTGAAAGAGGAATTCAAAAAACGCCCAAATGGATTAACATTATTGGGATTTTTGTAACATGGAACTAGAATCACATACCCAAATCAAATTTGGGTATCACATACCAAAATGAAATTTAGGTATATTCACCCACCTAAATCAATCTGAATGAGCCAACCAAAAGGATAATCCAACATCAATAACAATTCCAAATGAAAAAATAAGTGAAAATTTTACACACCCAGATCAAATTTAAAACTTGAACATCAATTGAAAGGAAGATGAAGGAAAAAGAAAGCTTAATTGAGACATGTAAAACATTACATGGAGAAGGCTTGAGAACGCTGAAGAACAAATCCAAAATCTATAACAAACCTAAATGGAAAAATAAGTAAACATTCACACACCCTAATCAAATTTGGGACTTGGACTTTGTCAAAAAGAAAGATGGCACCAAAACAAAAATACAAAATTGAAAATGAAAGAACCTTACCTGGATAATGTTGATCCACAGATGGTGGAACATAAATGAAGGAGATACAGATACAGAGAGAATAGAGTAATGTGTACATTGGTATCGTAAGATGAAGACACGTAGGGAACTGAGAAGAGAGAACTGATGACACAGGAAGAAGACACGTACTCTTAATAGAGAACTGAAAAGACACAAATACCTTAAAAGCAATGAAGCAAGCATGTTGAAACATGCCTTTTCTAATATAAGAGAAATG